TCATGTTAGTTGTATCCTTAGGATCACTGGATTCAAGGTCAATTAAATCGGGAGTTAAATCAGGTAGTAAATTCAATTGAACCACTCCCGACTCGAGATTATTACCATCAAGATTATCCAAAGTCGACTCAGTAGGTGATACAACTAAATCAGGCTCTTCCAAATTTAAATTCCATATGTTCGAAGTCAGATTGGCTTCTTTCGATATCACATTACTATCGTCCAGGCAGACTTTATCCAAAGAGTTATCCTCGAGGAAACTAGGATCAGGGTGGGCTAAGGTGCCGATGTTTAAAGGTTTCAACTTTCCTAGCTCAGGGTTTAAGTCGTGCTGGAAGTCTGACTCGATCACTTCAGTTTCAACCTCAAAGAAGTCCTCGTTATCGTTAGTATCCACGAAATGGGTGTATTCAGTCTCGGGTTCAGTAAATTTCTTCTTTTTACTACAATTCTTTATTAAGATGACACGTGTAGGGTCAAAGGTTGGGGAGGCTAAAGGTCGACTAAACTGGCCAGAAGTTAGTCCACGTGGGAAGTCATAAGAGATTTGTCCAACAGAAGACCCAGTAGAGGGTCGGCCATCTAGGTTACGTGAGGACCTAAAGGGTGGGGCAGCAACTCGGATGTTACTAATGGGTGGGTGGTCTCGACCACAGTAAGGTCCACGGGTCATCCCAACAAACGAGGTATGGTGATGCTCTAGATGACGGTCACTAGCAGATGGTCGGTATTTCAACTTAAGTTCTCGTCTCATGTCTCCCCAAGTAAGGTACTCACCGCGAGACTCTCTATGACCTTCCAATTTCATCCAAAATTGAAGAGCCTGACCTTTGAGGTGAGATTTAGCAATGCTAATCTGGTGGGATTCAGGGATATGAAAGGATTCAAGATAGTCATCTAGTTGTCTAGCCCATTCCCTAAGGTAGTAAGGGTTTGAGGAACCCTCAAAGGTAGGTAAACGATAATGTGACTCTAAGTGAGGTCGTGGAGGCTTAGTCTCAGGTCTCGGGTGATAAGCTGAGTGGGGCATGTAATTAGAGTGGGGACAGTCACTGGGTTTCTCCGTCATAATTCTAGTCATATTTTCCACTAGGTTAACGATGTCATCTAAACTCTTTTGGAGTCTTATCGGGTCCATTGAAAAGTGTCAAGTGAAACCTAGTGAAGATTGGGTGCAAGGTACCACACTCTACAGAGGGAAAACACCATTTCGACTTGCTATAAGGTGCAGGAAAAGTACTGGACAGCAAGCTTCAAGAAGGGTTTAAGTCACCCGGTGTTTAGGTTGGTTGCTAAGGCTTGGGCAGCACCTAAACACTAAGTTAAACTCTTCCAAAATGACACTACAAGGTGCAGATTTTGTTTGGACGGCAAACTAAAATGAGGGACGAAGTTATCTAAGTAATTTAGATGGACTCTAGGGTGTGGACAGCAAGTTATCACAAGTTTAATGTCACCTAAACGTCACTAATCAGTGCAGGAATAACTGGGACAGCAAGCTAACAGGTTTGTCTAAGCGTCCTAAGCAATTAGGGATGTTGTTGTGACAAGGACAGCACTTAGACAATGAGATAGACTTGCTCGAAGTGATTAAAACGATGCAGAAATATAGATGGCAGCAGGCAAAAACAGTGAATAAAAATCACTATGCGATGGTATGCATGCAAACAAGCTAAGGGAAAGTTAAGTAGACTCCTAGGATGCATCTAGCACATGTAATGCATGCTAGCTATGCTCTGATACCAAATATGATGTGATACAATCTCATGCGAAAATGATTTGCTTACGAAAAATTTGCACGCTTAGATTTAGAGGCAATAATAAACAAAATCTTATGCGGAATTGAACGATAAGATAAATATTACGTGGTACTTAGCTTAGGTTAATTCTCATGCATAAAAGTTAAGTTCAAAAAGATAGCCAACTTAATCCGACATTGCCTACATGGATCATTCCAACAATAAATTCTAATACTAACAATAAGATTAGTCTATGAAAGGTCCCTCACACAACTCTTCTAATTACTAGGCTTTAGCGGCGAATAATTGACATGATCTTCATGAATCCATTAATAACCATAAACGAAAAGTAAACTAGGAAGATAAGACATAAGAGAGGAGTCCCAAGAAGAGCTTTACCCAATGAAAAGATAATGTAGACCTTTTATGCGAAGGTCTGGATGCTTGAAAGATGGTTGGCAGCAGCCTTCAACTCTTGGTTGACTGTGGACAGCCGTTTGGCAACTCCTGAGGGGAGAACAACCACCAACCTTGGTCTAGAATCCTTGGGCAGTGGGTGGGAATCCTTCCAAGCGGCTAGATAGCTTTTGATCTTCGATGGACTGCAACTAGGAGGTCTTCAGGTTGGCGAAACAACACGTGAAGCCTGCTGGAGTCAATGGAGGGTAGATGGGAACCTTCAGGATAGCAAAACAGGGAATTCGAAAGGGCAAAACAACAGTTTTCCAGATCCTGAAATTCGGGAACCCGTCCAGAAATCTGGACAGCCAATTGTGGAGCAGAATTTCAGGAATTTTCAAATCTCAGATTTGAAATCTGAAATAAACTGAAATTATGTTTGAGAGGGGAGGTATTTGGGAGGTAATTAAGAGGTGATGAGGTGGCAATTAGAGAGAGAATCAATGGGGTGAGGTGGCCGGCCATAAGGAGAGAGAAAGGGGCTTGGTAATGAATAAAATGGGGCCCGCCATTAATGACAGATTTTAATCAAAGATTCTGAACGGAAATTTCAGGTTTCAATTTTGGGAAGTTTCCTAATGCATGGCAATCAAGAGAATTGATTTGAATTGAAACACAATTAAGAAGATTGCCAAAAATCAAGGATTTAATTAAGGAAAGTCAATTATGTCTCATGGGGGATTTGAAATTTCAAATTTCAAACCTCATGGAGGGAGGCCGGCGGCTAGAGGGGGGGACAGATGGATGGCCGGCGGGTGGTGTCTGTTTGGGCGCCGGCGGCTTGTTTTTTTTTTTTTTTTTTATTTTTTTTTTTTTGAGGATGTAAGGTGGCTGCTTTTGGAATGAGGTGGGCTTCATGTTGGGTAGTGGGTTTGGAGAATGGGCCTTGCCATAGATGAAAGATAGATGTAGTTATGCTGATTTCAAGTGGGTTTTGGAGGGGTTGTTATGGGCTGATTTGGACTTTGGAAGGATGCGAAGGCTAGGTAATGACTATAGAATGGGCTTAGGCAACTGCTTCGGACATGAGGTGGGATGATATGGGGTCGGATACTTGCAAGAATGGGGAGAATAGGCAGAAACCTGAGTGAGGAATTGATTGGAGTGAAATGAAGGTTGCACGTCACGTGGGATTGTATGTAGCTGGTAGGTGAAATCAGTGGGTAGAGAAGAACAAAAGGTTGTGCGTGACTCTTGTTGTTGCGAGTGGTTGAATTGTGGAGTGCAAACAGGGAGCTGGAGGTAGGGCTGTCAAAATCAGGTCACAAGTCGGGTTTGGCGTGACCCGACCCATTTCTTCAAACGGGACACTTTCACGGACCCGGACCAGACCCGCTTCGAACCCGAGTCAACCCGACACGACTCACCAACCCGTGAAGGTTGCACGACTTCACGCACGTTACTTAAATCACCGTTTTCACCTCTTTTCTCGTGTTTTGATGAGTAGGGGTCAACAAAAGAACTGACTTTGATCAAGATCGAATCAAATAATTTTGAGTTTACAATGATCAAAAATTGGTCGATTTAAGAGTGCGTCTATAATAATACAAAATATATATTTACTGATCAATACACCTGCATTACAAAGGAATGACAAAGATAATAAAAATGAACTAATTTTGTTAATTGTATTGTAAAATCATGGGCTTGAGATAATATATTTAAAGTTTGAGTAAATAAATTTAAATTTAAATTTAAAAAAAAAATTTAAAGGTAATCCCATATATCATATGCAATTATAAATTAAATAAAATAGTTGAATATTAATTAATTAAATATGAATATGAAGTCAATATAATTAACTTGAATTCAAACATAAATATAATGGCATATATGTTGAAATAGCTAAATTTTAAATAAAATAATTGCAGTTTCCAAATTTCCTTCAAATGCAAAAGAAATGATACATGATAAAATATTTAAGCATTAAAAAAATTAAAATTTCTTAAAGCATATATATATATATATAATATCTGCGCTTATATGTCTTCAAAGGAGTTGTTCGACAAAAAAGCATATCATATAAAGTACACAGCAAAAGATAACCTACAATATTATGTGCCTTTGGACCATTAAAAAGAGCACTGTTCATAGTGGTTCAAGAATCAATTACTACTACAAGCATAAATTTTGAAACATTACCTGGAAAAGTTAGAAATGACATTTGAAGCGCTGCCCCCATCTTGAACATGTTCCTCATTGACTTCAAGCACAAGGCTCTCAAGATTTGTTGACGAACCAAAAGTTGGAGGAGGATGAATGCTGAAAGATAGTCAAGTAGAATAACAACATAATTGCCCAAATCCGGAGGAAATAGCCATAACAACCTAAAGTTGATGCATAACCCCTTCATCCTCCATGCCCCAACACAAAGAAGAAAAAACAAGCATGATATGAAAAACTTAATTGATGTTAAAATGAGGGGTAACACAGCGGACTCACTATTAGAGGGAAACACAACAAAAAAAATCAATGAAACTATATCATTTGATGACTAATACAACACTAATTTTTTTTAGAATTTTTAATGCATGTTTAGTATGAAGTACTTGGAGGGAACTCAAATGCATTTTACTACGTAATTTCATATTTTGTGTTGAATTGGTTACAATGTAATAAACATGCAATTGGATTTACCTAGAAAATGTGAACAAATGCATTTTATCATTAACAATTTCCTGCCCAACCACTCCAGTGAAAAACAAGTAGAAAAAATTATCCGGTCATCATGGTGACTAAAATATGCCCACTTTACAAGAAATAAACTTGAATTTCTCATCAATCAAACAAAAATAAAATAAAATAAAAATCACTCGGCTTCTCCTTCATCAAATAAGTTGATGAAAACTAATTCCAATTCAATTTCTTCTCTTTCAAATCCTTTAAGCCAAATAGATCCTAAATATCCAGTAATACTTCAGAAATATCCAGTAATACTTTCAAATAGATCCTAAATCCCATATATTTTCTCCTTCATCAATGCTTGGAAGTTTGTATTGAACTTTTGGGACAAGCTACGACAGCAAAATACAGTTACTTAACAATGAACTATTTAAAATTTCAGAAATAATAACAGACAGGGCTACTTTTATTGATAGAAATCTCACTATGTATCTTCTTCCGATTGTGAATTAATACCATAGGATTCACCTCGAGGCATCTGCAGAAAAAATTCAGATTGTTAGCTTATACGTCACTAATAACAAACTTAAAACTCTTCTGTAGCAGATAAAATGCTTGATATGTATACTTCTAAACTAGTTGATCAAATAACCAGTAATTAAATTGGTTGTACTTCAAACAAGTATCAACAATGTCCTTGAGAATTATCAAACACCTGAAGGCTAGGTTGGGGTGGCACGATTTCATGTTCTTTTTTATAAATACAGGTTAAATATTGGAATAGAAGGTTTTTGGCCAAAAGTTAAATATCTAACCTAAAGTAAAAAATTCCTAAACTGAAAAGATGCTGCTACCCTATGCCACATAGTTGAGCAATGCACATGATAACAAATTCTTCTACTGTGCAGCAATAAGATCAAATAATTCAATATATATGAAGCTGGTCAAATTCACCTCCCAAGATGAAGTGATGATGGTGTAGCGTAATGAATAGAAAACTGGAAGAAGGAATTCTAGGTTATAATATCAGATTAAAAACAACTGATTCTTACACCTGAACAGGTCGAATATCAAAAGCAAGCTGAATGACCGGGTCTTGCGCCTGCTGCAACAATCTCTTGTGCGTTAAGACATCTTCTGCCCTCTCTACATTCACGTCCAATGCGTAACTATCAAAATAATTAACCACAATGTCTTAGTACTGGAATGAATCAAAAGATTAGATAAATTGTACGCCAAAATTGCTGTCACCATGAATTCAAGATTAAAACAAAAAAGATCATCTCCAAAACAGCAATGAATAGATCGATCTCATGCCTTTCTCAATTTCTTACGACAATGGTCTAAGTTGACATGCATGCATATCAATATACCATTTCCTTAAAAAGGATCTCAACAAAGCAAGAAGATTGCAATACAAAACAAGCACAGTCAAAAACTAGTAGGCAAAATTTAATTGAAAAATACAATCAAGACTCAAGAGCTGGAAACACAAAACGGTTTGCATCAACAGAAAATAAACAAATCAAATGAATCAAAATCAATCACATATCAAAATGTTACCGGACGGGTAAGCGATTGAAATGCGACCATAGGTCCTCCTTGAATGAAGGAGCGAGAACCTCAGGAGAGCCAGATTCCTTCAACCGGCGCAGAACCTCATTGTAAACCTCGAGCTTGCTGTGATGGCGCTGATACTGCAAGGTATTCTCCACGAAAGCCCGGCTTTCGCAGCTCTCAGCATCACTAATCGCCATTCACCGATTCCCAATCCCCCACAATGCTCGATAAGAGGCTCGGAGCAAAAGAAGTAGGGTTGAATGGCTCGGAGCAGCCGACGAGCGAGGGCACGAAGCGTCTCGAGTCTCTCGTGACGACCAACGAGCGCAAGAAAAGCGATGTGATGCGGAGAAACGGAACCGTTGGTGGGCGAGTGAGCTTGTCGAAGAAGATGGTGGGAGGAAATATATATAAACGCGATAATAAATAATTAAGTAAATAAATAAAAGGATTGGGAAACGGGGACAGGATAAGCGCGAAACCTCGCGGAAAGGTTTAATTAGGTATTTTTGGAGTTTTGACTAGGAAGGGTTTATCTGCTAACTAATGACGGATTTAAGGCGGCTTTATCTTATCCTTTGCTTAAATAGGAAAGAAGCAGTTGGCCCATACGTGTGGGGCCCACTTATTGATCCATGTGAGATGCTACATAGAGATTGGAAAGAACACCAACAACGAAAGCATCTTGTTTAATCGATACTCACACTAAGAGACGAAAATTATGGAGCAAATAGTATTAGATAATCTAGTAATTCTAGGCGTAAACAATGGATACTAGGTATTGTGCATATCGACTAGTACAATGTTGTAGCTAGTGTGTTAAGTATACAGCTTCAGTGAAATTATTCTTTGCAGATACGAATGCTGTTCGGAGGCGAATCAGAGCGTGTCACGTCATCTTTTTGATGTGTACCGCGGCTATGTACCCGCTATGTACCAAGTGATGTGGAGCGCTCTGATTTGCCTCCGAACGGTCCGATGTCCGCACAGAATAATTTCTCCCAGGCAGGCGAGTATGTTCGTTATAATGAAATTTGTTAATTTAAAGATTGATAGCCCTTTTTTTTTAATTTTCTCAAAAAAATAACCTCTTATTATATTATTTTTTCAAATGTTCATCTTAATTTCAAAGTTTATAGTAAATCTTAAATTATATTATTTTTCTACCAAATTCTTAATGATTTTATCACAACAAGCGCATGTACATGATCTTAGAATGAAAAATAATAATATAGATATTAATGTATTACTATAGGGAGCAATGTTGATCGGTTGATATCATATTAACATTTTCTATGTAAAAAATATCAAAATTTAATGGTTAAAAAAAGATCATTATCTTGTCCATTTTTGTCAAAAAATTTATTCACATAATAAATTTAAAATGAAATATTAATTGCTATGTTTTTGCCCAAATGTTACTCCATTTTAAAACATCTGAAAAGAATGATTTGATTTATACACGTTTATGATTTATGTTTGCAAGCAAATATGATTAAAAAATGTGTTAGATTTTGATTGTCAAAATTTTAGTCAATATACATTTTTAAGTCCTTCGATTTGCTTTGAGAAAAATACAAATAGATAATTAATATTATACTTGATACATCATCAAAAATTATATTGATCAGGTACGAATCTCGAAGCAAAATCAAGTTGGAAACTTTAAGAATTAAAATTGAGACCATACAAACTTTGATTTCAACAAATTTATAGTCAAACTGAGCGTCTTGGAATCACGAATCAAACGACACCAAAATCGACTCAATCCAAGCCCAAATGAGTTCAAATCAAAGACCCGAAAACACTTTTGGAAGGTTTAAGCCACAGTTTGGATTTTCAAACGGTTTCAAAACATGACATGCTTATTGTCGAATAAATCGACTCGACGAGACAAATCCAACGAGCCCAAGAGCACTGAATTAAGACATCACTAAGTCTGTCAAATGTCCAATAAACAGTTCACCATCAAGGGAATCAACATCAGCCGTCAATTCAAACAACCCAATTTACCCTTAACCTTCCATATATTTACAAGCCATACAACTCTAGAAAATCTATAAATAGAGCCCCCCCTTTCTCTTAAAAATAGGACCCAAGTCAAAGGAAGAGAAGTAAGAGAAAGATCGGAGTTCGCTCTTATCTCATCATTCCTCCTCGACCGCAGCCCAGAGTTCCCCCGGACCACTACTTGATGTTGGAGTTATGTTGAACTTTCACCGAACCATTGCCTGACACCAGAGTTCTGTCAAACTTTCACCGGACCATCTACTGACGCTAGAGTTCTACTAAACTTCCACTAGATCATCGACTGACGCCATAGTCCCACCGAACCACCGACTAACGCCGAAGTTCTTCTAATCCAACGTAGAACTACCAACTGATGTCTAAACTCCCAAGTGACTCTGGACTTCCGTCAGACCACCAAGTAACGTCGGATTTGATACTATACTTCAACCATACGATTGGCATTTGTAAACTAATCGCCCTCAAGGACGAGTCAACTCACTGTACTCTACTCAAATTCTAGTATAATCATTTTCAACTAAACTAGGCCACATGGTTTTTCCCCATTCCAGGGTTTTCCACATAAAAAAATATGTGTTCTTTGTGTATGAGATGGATATCCGTATAACAATAAGACATATAACTGTAACTCTATTTCCGCATATATTCTAGCCCGCAACAATACTAATTTTATAACACATTCAATTGATTGATCGAGGCATATTCTGATCCAGACTGGATCACTTTTAATATCGTTAGGTTCGTCTCATCGAGATCTTTACGTTGACTAAAAATTTATTGAAATTGGAAGTGATCCTAAATTTAGATCCACAAATTTTCAACCTAATAATTACAAAGAAATTTATGGTCGATCAGGTGAATTTTTTGTGATGTATCTATAATGCTAAATTTTAATAAATTTATATATCTAATTTTTTTACTTATAAAATCTCCTAATATCTAAACCAATCAAAATATAAGCATTAAAAATATATTTTATTTAAATTAATCTTAATGATATATATTTTTTAATTTTAAAATTACATATTATATAAATAAATAGAAAGTCATAAATTTCTAAATCCATAAAATTAATGTATAGAGATAGGTAATTAGTTAACCTTAATTTGTACGACCGATAAAATAACTCGCACAGTTGTGATAATGATCAATTGATTATTAATAATTAGTGGGCCCTACCCAAATGCTATAGACAAATTTAGCATAATCATGTCCACGTCAGATGCTAATCAGGTTTACGGGCAAGCGATTAATACTTAATAGTGGATTAATCCTCAATTAACCAAGAGGCTATTTTTCTATAATGTTTTAATAGTCAATCAGCCCTTTTTTTATACTTTAATATTCTCTGCTAATGATAAAAAAACTGCAAAAAATTTAATTTTTTTACATGAAAATTTTAAAAATTAGAAAATCAGAGGACTAACATAATTAAGAAAATGAAATATATAAGGTGCAGCTTATGCTAGTATGAATCTCTCTCCAATTAGAAAATGTGAAATTATATGGCCAAAATTGTTAAATTAGGTCTCATTTGGGATAGCTTTTTATTACTATTTTTTCATTACTTAAAAAAAATTATTATAAAAATGTATTAGAAAGTACTAAGAAAGCCTTCACAAACGAAGCCTCATTTGGGGCGACTTTCTTGTTGCTTTTTAAAACATAGTTTTAGTACAAAAGATGAGAGTAGAGCAAAATGTGGGGGAATAGTAAAGAGTTGATGTTGGTGTTGATCAATGGGCGATGAGGGTGGTTTAATTAATTAGTGGACTAAGCAGTTGGAGTTGATTGATTATGGTTGAGTGACTATGAATGTTGATGACGATTGAAAGAAGCAAAAGATGGTCGAGTGATATCGAACATCTGCGATCAATAGTGGCAGCCTACAGTTAGCAAGAAACGAAGATCATTAGCAAAAATTGTCAGAATTGATCGATTAATTTCAAAAAACTTATAAACAATCCATCGTATGTCTCAAAACAGAACAATTATTACGTCCGGTGACCGGACGTAGCTCTACGTTCGGTCACCACTGAGTTACTTGGTATTTGTTCGGTATTTGCTCGATATTTCTAGTTATTGCTTGGCAATAACGAGAAATACCGCTCTATGAAGATCAATATCGAGTAATACCGAGTTTTTCTAGAAAAAATTCGGTATTGCTCTGTATTGATCGGTATTAATCGTTATTGCTCGGTATTTGTCTTCACATAATGATATTTCTTGTTATTGCCGAGCAAAATAGACAAATACGTGATTTTGTGCCTGCTACGTGGCGCGATCTCAGTTCCGATCGAACGTAGCTCTACGTCCAGTCACCGGAACAAATAAAAATTCCTCAAAACAGTACCCCTTAAGTTTTTTATACTATTCAAACATGTGAGCGTCATATTGATATTAAAATTGAGCTATCTTATCCTCATATGATTCATCACATCGACATACATTACATGTTTCAACTAAAAATTTGTGGAAAATAACATTCAAATGATCACAAAGTTCATTCTCTAGGATCCAAATTACAAAAAAGTGCTTTCAGTCTTTCAGATATAAGAATTATGGTGTCTCCTTCAATTCTCGCACCACCTCGATCTCTTATATGTATGTGTGTTGAATCTTCGTGCAAAATTAAGACGTAAAACTCCATATCTTTTTATTGTCACAAATATTTTGTCATGCAATAAGCTTTATTTTTATGAAGTTATATTATGTTTTTTAATTCCTCCATTTCCCCTTTGCTTAATTTGACGGCGCATTTTAAGTTAATATGGGGATTACAACGTTAATTATAATTATTATTATTTCTTAATGTTGGCTCTCGACAAGCTGGCATTGCATGCATGCATGCAGTCCTATTATCAGTCCAGGTACAATCATGTCCAGGTTCGGAGTTCATTTATGAATCTTTGCGTCGGTTTGCCACGTGTGAGAGCCACCTCATAACGCCAACAGCAGTTGCACCAGCACCTGCATTAAATATTCATAATGAGATGAGGCAATCACAATCACTAAATAAAGAAACTAATTGAACCATTTTTAAAGTACTAATTAATTCATAATAATAATAATAATTTGTATTATTTTGGAGGATTTAATTTAACATGATTGAAAATAAATTAATGTTAGCAAAATATAAATAAATGACTAAACTTAAATATTCGGATATTATGTATCATACATTCATACGGGTGATTTGTGATGTCCTTCAATGTTATTTTCTTGATCTAATATGTGATGATAAAAGATTAGGGGCATTACACCATTCACATGCTCTTTATTTTACATATTTTAAACATTAAAATTTTAGAGAATTTAGAAGCTGGGGTTTCGTTAAAGCAC